TTTCACTACTTTGAAGATATCCCATTTTTGTATATTTTCACAATGGTAATGCTTACCCGTAAGTCTAAGACTACTTTTGTTCTGAATGATTAAAATACTGAACTTCTGAAGACTTAGCAGAGCAAATTGGTTATGACAGGAAGATATAGAGGATTAAATTTTAGGGAAAGAAAAGCTAAAAAAGTGTTCTGGAATTTTTTCTCTTATACCTTTCTCCCTATAAGCAACCTACAAAAATGACAGAAAGTAGCAAAATGAGACTGAACGCTCTGGAAAAATGTAAGAAACTTTGTTAGGAAATAGTCTCAAACACTGGTGTAAGAGTAAAGATTATGGTTATGTTTTAAAAGCTGGAAGTGTATTAAGTGGGTAGCAAACTATACCTGAGATTTCACCAGAAATATGACTTTTGGTAGGAGTGTTCTGTTTCTATTTCTATATACCTTTATTCCATTACTTTTTTTTGTAGAAGTTTCAGCATTTTATGATGAAAATCATCTTTTCATATGGAAGGTCTTAAAACTTGCACAGCTAAGAAAATGTCAGAAAATAATGATGAGAAGTAATGGATTTTATGATAAAGGTAAACAAAAAATACTAGTCAAAATAAAATTGAAATTATGTCTTTTTAGTAGTCTGAGGACTCTTAAATTGCTTCCACAGGCCGCTGGCAGCCTGGGTTTTTTTTCTGAGTAATCTAAAACTGCCTGAGACAGCATAGCTGGGAATACATTTTGTATGAAAAATCTTGCATTTCTGAGATGTGTTGAAGCCTCATTTGACAGTAAGTTTTTTTGGTTTTGCTGTCTTCCAGAGGCTATTTAATAAATTACATTTCCATGCCTTTTAGGTTAGAACCTCTATCTTACTCAGTATCACTTGGATAAAGTGTCATCTAAGCAGCCATAATCAATCTAAGTATGAAATCCTATTTTCACATACCATTTACATTTGACATACTTCTCTTCAATATAGTCTTGTCTTTCTGTGTAAGACAGTTATGGTTTATTAAAAAAAAAATCTACTAACATTGCTGTTCTGAGTTTCTGTAAGTACTGAGGTGAGCTTGCTGCCTCCAGTACTCTGTTCAGAGATGATTGCCTGCTCCACAACCACCCCTTCCTGTGCCCCAGTGCTCACTTCCCCCAGTTTAGGCCAGTCTTTGCCCACCCATAGTTACTTTTTCCACAGATTTGGTGTTTCAGTGTAACTCTGTATGCAGTGTTGGCTTCATTTAATATTATTAGTTCAGTTACCTTAGTACCTTCCAGGATGTCCACCCCTGAAGTCTGCCCCGTATTCCACCTTTCCATGGAGCTTGTCTGGTTTTTGTGTAACTCTGCCCTGATGATCTGTACAGCCATTCTGCAGCTTCTTGCATTGTTCTGTCACATCCAGCTTTCTTATGTCCAGTAGTTTTTCACACCCTGTTTATTCATCTTAGTCTCAGGCCAAGGCCTGATCATCTGCAGCTAGGATCCAACTGGCTGACAAGTCAGTTCTCCTGACATTGCTCCACTGCGCACTGGAGCAGCTGCCTGAGCAGTGAATGACTGGAGGAGCATCAGTCCCCACACTGTTGCAAAAATTGAGTCAGGCTGGTCCTGCTGCTGCCACGCCTTTGCCACCTCTTCCCAGTGTCATCTTGACATTTTTTTCTTTTCTTACCTGTTTGTAATTTCACCTCTTTGTCCCCTGCTGGCAAGTGCTGTAAGGACTAGGTGCCAGCTGCTGAGGGTATGGGGCAAGCAGCAGGAGTCAGGGCAGGAGTGTAGGTGCCCCAAGCCTGTGGTGTCAGCAGTGGGGGTCTCAGCTCCAGGCACAGGGGCAGTAACAGCATATGCACTGTCAGGGAGGACAGGCAGCGTGTGTCCTATGTGCATCTGCGGGTGAGACTGGAGCGAGTCATGCTGGGGTGAGTGAGGCTCTTGGCGCATCTGGACTGGGCTGCTGGTCACAGCCTGTGTGCCCGTGCTACTGCTGACGGGACAGGCAGACTGTCTAATACTCACGGGCTTTGACCCCACGTGTGTGTCTCTTTGGCATGTACAGTTCAGTAGCAGACCTCAATTTTGAGTAGCAGTGTGTGGGAGTGGGACTTTTTACAAGGCCATGTAGTGATAGGACATAGGGTAATAGCTTTAAACTGAGATAGATTTGGGTTAGATATTAAGAAGAAATTCCTTTTTGTCAGGGTGGTGAGGTGCTGGCACATGTTACCAAAGCTGTGGATACCCCATCCCTGGGAATGTTCAAGGCCAGGTTGAATGGGGCCCTGAGCAACCTTGTACCCCTGCCCATGGTGGGCATTGGAACTAGAGGATCTTTATGGCCTCTTCTAACCATTTTGTCTTCTGTGGTTCGTGATCTGGGAAGGGATATCAGGTGGCCAGAGGGCCCTTGCTGGTGCCTGTAAGGTGAGTGTGTGCATCTACCTTCTGGTGACTCGCTGCCAGCCAGCAAGTGGGAGGCCCATGGCGGGGCACAAGAGCTATGGCCCAGGCCAAGGGGTATTAGATGGACAGAAGCATAAGCTGTGCTGCTACTGAGGGACCCACAAGTCCTCATGCATTTGTGCATTTTGAGGTGGTGGGAGGTGGCATGCTCTCGATAGTGAACTTCAGTCCTGATGAGAAAAGAAGGGAGAGGTCTTGGCTGGCTTTACTGAAGTTCGTGTGAGTCCTGAGAGTGCTACATCCTGAGAAGCTGAGCTTCTCTACTGGTTGAACATGTCAATAAGAAAGCAACTGCTACATATATGGACCTGGGCCAGACACCTGTGAATCTCTGGACACATTGGGCTGGGCTGCAGCGTCAGGGCAGGAGGGGGCCTCAAAGATGGGCCTCAAAGATGCTGGAGGGGGCATCCATTTATAACATCCCTTAGCATAATTGGAAAGAAGGCTCCATAATAGATATTCAGTACTAAGATTTTCCTTGTGAGTCACGTGCATCTCAAAGTTGAGAAAACTGTATAAGAATAGCACTATTTCTTTTTCTGTTTTATTATATGTTGCTGACCATTAATAGAGACAGAATAAACATGTATTTACTACAGTAACTTGACTAATGTGACTACATTTACAAAACCAAGGTTCTGTGGAAGAATGTATAAGTCAAAAATGCTTAGTTTGCCTTAAGTCTAGGAGAAGTGAAGGAGATAATTTATAAAGTTGGGGATTTAAGCCTGAATGGAAGGTTCTTGGCCTCATTTTGTATCCTAGGCATTTCAGTGTGGCTTTAATGACTTCACATTCCAAAGTGTAATTCATTCTTCAGTATTATTCATGATTCTGCAATGTCCTGGGAATTCTGCAATATTGTCATATCAAAATTAAACTTCTGACGTTCTCATGGAGGGATCGCTGAAGTTTGTCTGCCTCTGCCCTGAACTCTGTTGCATCATTTAAATCTTAAGGAGACAGGAAATAGGCAGTTTTCTTTGGGATGAAGATCATAGGAATTATCTTTTTTTGTGTTTTTGTTCTTTTTTCATAAACCAACAGCTTGATTTAATAAAAAATATTGGGTTAGAGAGCTTCACTCGTAACTCCTAACCTATGTGACAGTAAGCATGTCACTTAACCAACGTGTCCTACTTTCACCATCTGTGAAACGCTTTGGGAAGTCATGGAAAACTGAATCATAGGTCTTTTCCATCTCTATTAGGTCATCCAATTGTTCATCTGCCAGTAGAAGATTGTTTCCTACATCCACCAGTGTTTTTCCAGTGTGGATCCTGTCCCCTAAGTGATTGGGCTTCCACTAGTACCTTTGGGAGATGATTTTGCAGAGTTCTAGATCTTATTGTCAGGAAGTTCTTCTGACATTCACAAAAAGAGATTTTTTTTCGTTGTTGTTGTTAATTTAACTGAGTTCTGTTACTTTTTTTCCTGTTAGTAGATAATTGTTTACACTTTTAAGTCATATGAAACTCTTAATAAATAAATACATAAATTGCAAGTGTCTGTAAAGTATCTTATCTATACAAAGAAGAAACACATAAGGTTTTGAGATGCAAGGTATGACCTTTTATAAGAAGGTAAGCTACTTGGTTCTTCCTGAAATTATGTCTAAGGAAGTTTACAGACTGCTTCAAGAATTCTTAAACAGGGAAAGAAAGAAATTAAAAATACAATATAGTTGTTGAACATGAAAGCTATCAGAAGAACTAAGTTACTTTGTAGAGAATTTTAACTTTTCAAAATGTGGTGACGTTATTTGGATCTGGCATAAGAATAGTTAGAAGTTAGACTGCTTTTGAAATGGCTATCTGGGAAACTAACTGGTATGCAACATGACTTTTTGTTGCACTGTTCTAGGAGGAAAATAATGTTCAATTAATTCATTTGGTGAGGTTAATAGAGCATTTTGTAATACAACCTACATAAAGCATGTATCTTAAAATAGCAAGAAATCTGTTGTGGGAGCATGCTTTGTAAAATATGCAGCTTTTAACAAAATCCACTGTCCAGAATTTTCATTCCTCTATTTCAGCTGCCAGTGCAAATGCTTAAGTCCACAAATGCAAGCTGCATGTTCAGTCAATCTCTTTAGAAAAAAAACCATAGTATTTTTTTCATCTCAGCTTCATTTTCATTGTCTTTAACTTACATATTCATGTATGTTGATAAGACGTAACTTCATCAGAAGATAAGTCGGGAATTCAAGGCGTTCCGAAATTTATTTGTAGTACAACAATATGGACAATTAAAATATTTCTGTGAATGAAACCACCCATTCTACATACTTAGCTGTTGAAACACCCCTATTGCCTTCAGCACTAGTATATGCAGTCAGATTAAGTATAAGGTAGTGTTTTGAAAAGGTCAGTCAGTATAAATGTAGTGTTTACATACACACTAAAAAATTTGCCATATAATGAGCTGATTTTCTTCCTTTAAGAGATGAGGGAGGTGCCATGATTAGACTGTTTATAAGGAAGGTAAGACTTCATATAGTCTGATCATAAGAAGAATAAATTTATCTTTCATCTACAGGAAATAAAACCAGATGAAGTTACCAGACTTGCTCTTAGGACAGAAGTTAATTTTGAAAGTGTCTGCAAAAAGGTAAGACTTGCTGGTTTTTGTTTTCCTTCCTCTGCTTCTGTGAGTGTGAAAAGGTGCATGCGTGGGTGCAAGAACATGGATTTGGCACAATGTGTCTGTTTGTTGTGTTGTATCTTCATTGTACATCCTCCTTTTCTGAGGAGGTTTGTCCTCTGGGATATATCTACAGGAAAATGAATAGCTATCTGGTATGAATTGTCATTAGTCAGGTGGGTTAGTCCATAGTAATTAGAACAGAATACCAGGAAGCATAGTAGTGATTTCTTAGTCTTTATAAATAGATTTGTTTTGTTTATATAGTATATATACATTATATAGTAGAAATTCAATTAGCATATATTCATTTTCAATTAGTATAAATAATCTAAGTAAGCTTTCAGCAACAGTTGGAAAAAGGCTCTCAATACTTTTAAATGCAGAGAGAAGTTTCCATGTGTAAACAAAACAGGACAAACATTAGCTTGAAATGAAGGTGGAATTCTTACACTCCTGTGCCTCATTCGTTTCAGTGTAATGTTTCTCTTGAAGTCTGCTGATGGTCCAGTATCAAATGTTAACAGTCTAACTAGTGATGTCGTAAGGGATTAAATGAAGACATGGAAGTGTGAAGACACTCATTGAAATAAGCAGCTGAGGCTGAGAGCAGTCCTATTTCAAAGAGCATGTTACATTTTTGATGCGAGAAGGCAATTCTGAGTTTAAAAATGTCAATGCATTAGGTTTTATGGTTTTTTCACTTTATCCTTAATTTCTGTGGTTGGTCCACTGAGGAAGGCTGAAACTTGAAATGTTTGTTGTGCACAGGCTAAGTTTTAATGTAGAATTGGGTCATTTACTCATTTAATGGCATCATTAGTTTGTAATGTAACTCTGCTGTTGCATATTACAGTTGTGTGATGTAGTTGAGTTATTAGCATAGTGTGCAGCAAGTTTTTCAATGTTTTATGTCAGCAAAATCAAGTTAATAGGAAAATATCATAGGAATTTGGTATTTCTGGAGAAGGGTTTGGGTAGAAGCATCCTAACTGCTTTTCCTTCTCTTAATGATAGAAGAGAGTAAGGAAAAGGTCACAGATACACTGACATGAAGCTAAAAAGCATTCTTCTTTTAAATTTATTTAACCAGGATTTTCCAGTGTGAAGATGAGGCAGTCAGAAAGTGGTTACTGTGATATTAGAAATGGGGCAGACATGAATATTTTGAATGTGTGAGGACACTTGGAGAGGGATTTCGTTCTTGAAGAGGGATGCTAAATTCAGTGACATTTTGTCACTTAACCATAGGAGATTCTTCTGCCAAGACTTCAAATTCATCAGGCTTATGCTGATTTCATAAAGTGAAGGAGCACAAAAATGAAATTATTGATGCTATTTTTTAAAGGAGTCTGTAGGTTCACAGTTGAAACTTTATTTTTTAAGGTGGCAATTTTATTGAAAATAATGCTGAAGGAATTTAATTAATCTTACTTTCACCCCATTATTTTTTATATATTCATAGTCATGACTGATATGAAAATATGCTTCTCATATTTAAAGTCTTAAAATAGGCTTTAATTCAGCTTTAATTCTTCAAAATGTATAATGCATGGAGTTGTTTCAGGGTTTTGATCTGTTATTGATTCTGTTACTTTCTGCTGGTGGCCCTGTTTTTCTGGGGAATGTAAGTCTGTTAGTCTCACAGTTTTTAGTGGATGGAACTTACATTTCAAATCAAGCTGATGGATAGATGCTGATACTTTCTTAAATCCGTAGAAGGCTTTACCTCACTGCAGTAGAAGAATATGTACAATATATATCATAACTTTACTGGTTGCTTTTGGTTGACTATAACATATCCCCAACTAAAGAAGGCATCCCTTCTGTGCTTAAACAGAAGTTATTTCTCCAGTATTTTATTTCTGATTCTCCCACTTAGTCATTAAACATACAATTTTAAAAAAATTTGATTTTCTATCCTTAGCAATATTCTGTAGTCTCATGAAATACTGACTACACTGTTTACCTTTTCATTAACTTGAGTTTCAAAATATTTGAAGGAAAACATCCTGTGGCTGTTTTCATTTTCAGGATAGGTTTGTTTTCATTGACAAAAGGCAGTCTGCTTTTAATTCACTGTGGAATGCTGAATATTAGTTTTGCATAGTGGTCATGCAGTCAGGATACTTTTTTAATTGCTTCTGCTCACTGAGCTTTTATATTCCATTGCTGTTTCCCAACCTTTTTCAGAATAAGTTAAGAATACTTTTCTGTTTAAAAAGAGTTTGGATATATTTCCATCAAGTACAATGAAATTGTGCTAAGTGTTTATCAGGTAGCAGTTCACTGGGAGTTCCTGTGATTTAGATTTCAATATGGCTGTATTGATAATAAGCAGATAGATTTATCAAGTTGCAAGGGGTGTTGGCAAGAGTCACCAGCCCCATGGCACAAGACTTTTTATAAAAGTGTTACAAGAAGCAGCTGGTGAACAATTCTTTGTGTATGTCTGCTGAAGTATTTTTAATCTATTTGAATATTGCTGCAGCTAGCGCTATTGTTACCAACAGGGGATAAATCGTATTGTAAAAATTGTAATAAATGTGATCATGCAGCTTTGACTAGGCTTTATATTGTTGGTTCTGTTTACTGCTGTTGAAGAACAGAACCTGTATTTTGTAGGTTTTCTACAAGTCCTTGTGCACTTTTTGTACCAAATTGTGCATTGTCTGTCACAAATATATTTGTGGCAGACATTAGTAAAATTAGAAAAACATGTCATAGAGCTCATATTATAAACTCACCTTTGCAGCTGTGATGGCATTTTGAACTGTTGCACACAACATATATTCCTGCATTGTATGTATGAGAAGCTTTGATTCATCAGTGTTATGCTCCAGGACACTGAAGTTACAAATTGGAAGCTAATCCTAATAATGCTGTTCATTACAAGCAGAAAACTGAGCTGAGCACTGGCAAAGTCTTAACTGTTCTCTTCAGCTTGTTGCTAACAGAGATTTTACTGAACAGTAATTCAGATAGGTGAAGATAGGCAGGATAAATAAGTTAATATGAATTAATGTTTTTCCAGTGTTACAAAAGTATGCTTATAGTCTGGGCTGTTTCCTCAGGAAAGGAGGATGTTGGTCCACCTGCAAACACCTTCGTCATAACCACAGTTGGTTTTGTTGCTTTTGCTAACAGATGTTCACTAACTTACTGTAGCATTTCATTTAGCTTTTCTTCCAGTAATTCTTTGGTGTATAGCACATAAGGAAGAAATCCCTGCGTTTTAAACACTTGAGAATGACAGAATTCCAGCATAACGGAACTGTGCTTACAAGCAGTGATATGTCATCTTGCCTTTTGTCAAAATACTTCTTATTTTTTTTCTAAAGAATAAACTCTATGTTCAAAATTCAGCAACTGTCTGATATGGGGAGCAGGGCTGAAACAGAAATTAACTTCTTGTATTTTACTTTGAGTGGAGAATAGAGTACCAATATACATTATGATCAGAGATGGGATTGAGCATGTGCTTCTGACTTGCAGAACAAGCATTCACAGATGATAAATACCACCTATATTTTTTGCTTCCAGATGCAATCTTCATGTAATCTTAGGAGCATAATACTCCCTTCTTTTACACTGATCTTAAATCTGTGGTTCTTGAGAAGAATGCCACCTTTTCCTGTTAAGTCTTGTATTTCCACCCATTGCTCAAATCCTGTTGTGTTTGAATCGCACAGATGCTTGTCTGCAAAGAGGATTCTACACAGAAAATAGAGTGTATTATGATCCTCAGAGCTTTTTGGGGCCACATTCCTCTGAATCTCAAGATTACTGAAAAGCTTGCCACAGTTTCTAAATATTAAAAAAAAAATTGTAAGCCAGAAATAGAAGTCATTAGCAGCTTTTTGTAGAACTTTCTTTTTCTTTCCCCTAATTTAAGGTCTGGCAAGCTTGTTTTGCATTGCTTCATGTACAGGAACCAACTTTGCCTTGTTTGGAATTTAAAAGGAATTCAAAGGCTTTAGAAATAGGATCTCAGGCAGCTCATGAAAAGCCATAGGGACACATGCCAGGATTTAACTGAGCAACTGGGTACACAATATGAGTTTGGTCATTTAAAATCTAAGCTGCCTAATGAGGACAACTCAGCTTAACTTGATTTTGGAGAGTTGACATTAGTGCTGTGTGTCTTCTGGTGCAGATATTTTTAACGGATGCCTAAAGATATATTACACTTAGAAGTTCTGGGGTGAGTGAATTTAGTATCTCTGGCACTTTACCTATAATACGGCTTAAAAGAACTTGGGATGGGGAAACCAACCAAAATACTAACAGTAATATGAAAGGGTTTTCTGTGACTTATTAAACAGGACTTTGACTTATTCACATGTGAGAAGAACATTTCTGTTTCACCTCCAGAACTTCCCCTTGAATTCACTCAATCTCTGGTGTAGGGCTAAGGAAGTCCTTGGGCAAAAAGGGCATAAGAAAAAAAGAGGTTAGAAAGGTGTTTCTGCCCAGGACAGACAGGAAGAAGAATGACAAAGTTATAGGGCTAAATATGTATTAACTTTATTTCTTTCAAAAGTGTGTTTCAATCACATTATCAAAATAGCATTTGTCAGATTTGTGTCTTTTTTAAATTATGCAGGTGATGGCCTGAGATTAGTCTATAAATTCACAGCCTCTCTGTCATAAAAAGAGCAAGGGTGGAGTAGTCACAATACTAGTTTTGTTCTTCTTTTTAGATTTATATTGAAAATGTTTTTCACACCAACAATATGTGAAAGGCAGTTTATGAAAGGCTGCTAGCTTTAAGGCTTTAATTAAGAGTGAGTAATTCATTGAAGCACCAGGTGTCCCAGAATAACTCACTAGATGTATACAAGACATCATTCGTGCTGAAGGAATACATGAGACTAAATATACTTATTTACTAAGGAAATTTCAAATTTAATACTCCTTGTGCTTTTGAACTTTGTGGCAGGATAAGAAAGATATTATTTTGGAAT